CCTGCCCCGTATTAGGCTCCACGAGAACCGCAATCACGACAATGCACAATCACTAGTTTTGTTGTACATTTCCGTTCTAACACTGCATCCTCGAAAACACTGTTCTGTTGATGGCCTACTGATAGGAGAAGGAATAACACTGAGTTTCGAGGACTTAACATCATAAAAATTCCTGACCGATCTCCTTCACGCGCCAAGTTAGCGCAGTTGGCATGCAGACAGAATTTCAATCCCGGTTTATACACAACTTTTACCTTTGAAAGATTATCTGTTGGCTACAAGTGTTTTTTGTTTTTACTTTAAGCTTGCAAAAATTCCCATCACTTTAGCGGCAACCTATACGCTTCGCGTGTTTTATTATAATATTTATGCCATCGTTTTGCTCATTCCCTTGGAGGCCTTTGCGTTGGGATTGCATAAGTATATCTTGTCAGACGTTTCACAGGCTGGTAACACAAAAGATCTTTATCCACCAAACCGGAGGTCTGCTATTTTCCACAAAATATACTACTTAACATTCAGTAAGTAACAATAATTAGTTTTGGTTTTTACTTTGGCAGCAACCTATACCCTACGAGATGCGCACAATGCTCCAGCCGCCGGCGAGGTGGAGAGGTGGCATGTCTCGTGCAGAGCACAGTGAGGCCGTCTAGCTCCATTCTCCCCGCCCCGCCATTGGAGTCTCGGTATCCGCTTATGTCTCTGCGAGAAGTGAACTCCCGATTATGTACCACCTGCTCCTGCTTCTCGGTTGCTCTCTACTGTCCGTTTTCGCGTCTTCTATTTTTCATCGCGAAACGTTATTTATGCCATCGTGTTTTGCTCACTTCTTTGAATGCGTTGGAATTGCATAATTATATCTCGTCAGACGTTTCACAGGCTGGTGACACAACAGTCTCTTATCTATCCGACCTCAGGTCTCCTATTTGCCGCAAAATGTACTACTGACCATTCCCTAAGTAGCACCACAAGATTTGTGACTGATTGACTTAATTGATGGGTCGGGTAAGCCAGTTTTAAATGCTCCACATATGCAAGTTGCCGCCTTCGTAGCGCTTTATTATATTTCTTGATTCAGGCCTGTCAGTAAAAATATCCAAACTGGAATCGGAAAGTTTTGCATGGATACAATGACGTGGGTCCAAGTCTGTACATAAAACAGTCATTTCGAGCGGGGTATGAGGGTGTGGCTTACTAACACTTCCATGCCAGGATCCCCACATTTCCACCGAAGTACATGTATAACAGGGATTTGAGTTCGTAGTCCACTTCGAATCCGAAGCCCTCGCCGACAACGACGTGCCAAATGCCCCCACATTTCTTGTCTAATTCCTCCTTCAGACATTGCGCAGCACTCTAGAAGAAAAATAATTGGAAGTGAGAGACAAAGTCTGCCGCTTAACTTTCTTGGACATCATCACTGTAATGATATTTAATAGGTCTTATACTGGCGTACACGCTGTTCTTCATGGCACCGTTTTCGGCGCGAGGCCCGCAAATGTTCGTTTCGGTGTGTTTGAGGTCACGGTGCGCTGTGCCATGGGTCTCAAACCCCGTGGACAGGG